GCACCACTATGTTTACTGCAACATTGTTTATAATAGCCAAGATATGGAAGCAACCTAAGTGTCCATCACTAGATGAATGAGGAAAATATGGTATATATACGCATGTTATATTACTCAGGCATAGAAATAAGATCTTGCCATTTACATGGATTGACCTAGAGGAATTATGCTAAGCAAAATAAGTCAGACGGAAAGACAAATACTATAGGATTTATTTCACTTATATGTGTAATCTAAGAAACAAACACAAATGAACAAACAGAAATAGACTAACAGAACTGGTGGGTGCCAGAGGGAAGGGGTGTAGGGGGATGGGTAATATAGGTGAGGAAATTAAGAGGAACAAACTTCCAGTTATAAAATAGCTAAGTCACGGGGATGAAAAGTACAGCATAAGGAATATCGTCAATATTTAATAACTTTGTATGGTGACATTTGGTAACTATACTTACGGTAAGCATCTTGCAATGTATATAACTGCTCAATCACTAAGTTTGTACACCTGAAAATACTGTATTTCAACTATGCTTCAATAAATAAAATTCAACGCAAATTCTGGGTGTGATGAAATAAAAACTAAAAACAACTTGATTAAAAAATTGGCAAAGGGTCTGAACAGACACCTCACCAAAAGATATACAGATGGCAAATAAGCTAAGATGCTCCATGTTATTTGTTATTAGAAAATTGCAACTTAAAACGAGATATCACTACACACCTGTTAGAATGGCCAAAAATGGAAAAACAAACAAACAAACAAAAAAACCAAAACATCAAATACTGGCATCAAGAACTATCATTCTTTGCTGGTGAGTATGCAAAATGATAGAGCCATTCTGGAAAACAGTTTGGCAGTTTCTTTTGCAACTAAATATATTCACACTATGCAACCCAGAAATCATGCTCCTTAATTATTACCCAAATGTTATGAAAGCTTATTTCCACACAAAACCTGTACATAGGTGTTTATAGTAGCTTTATTCTTCACTGCCAAAACTTGGAAGCCACCAAAATGTCCTTAAGTTGGTGAACAGACAGCAGGCTGTGATGCATACTCAGACAATGGACTATTATATAGCATTAAAAAGAAATTAGCTATCAAAGCCACGAAGGAACCTTAAATGCACGTAGCTAAGTGAAAGGAAGCAATCTGAAAAGACTACATACACTATGATTCCAACTACACAAAATTCTGAAAAAGGCAAAACTAGACAGACAGTAAAATGATCAGCAGCTGCCAGGGCATGGGTGCAGGGATGGTAGTAAGGAGGGATGAACAGGTGAAGTACAGAGGATTTTTGGACAGTGAACTACTCTTTATGACAATGTAATGGTGGATACATGTCCTTATACTTCTGTTAAACTCCACAGAATGTACATGAACCCTAATGTAAACTACAGACTTAAGTAGTGGCTCGTCAAGTTTAACAAAGGTCTCACAGTAATGCAACATGTTAACAATAAAGGAAAGGGAGATGAAGGGTACTTTCTGCTCCATTTTTTGTTAAACTGCTTAAAAAAGATGGTCTATTAATTTTGAAAAGTAATGAACTATTTATACACATGAAGAGACATGGGACTACGTTATTTGTACTTTTAATTTAATCCCAGTAAAAATACCATTACTTTATTTCCCCAGAGCAAGACAAGATTATTGAGTTTACATGTAAGAATCAGAGAAAGATAATTACCATATGATCTCACTGATATATATGTGTAATTTAAGAAACAAGGCAGAGGATCATAGGGGAAGAGAGGAAAAAAATGAAACAAAACCAGAGAGAGAGACAAACCATAAGAGACTCTTAATCTCAGGAAACAATCTAAGGGCTGCTGGAGGGGAGGGTGGGGGAGGGATGAGGTGGCTGGGTGATGGACACTGGGGAGGGTATGTGTTGTGGTGAGCTCTGTGAATTGTGTAGACTGATGAACCACAGACCTGTACCCCTGAAACAAATAATACATTGTATGTTAAAAAAAAAAAAAAAAAAAGAATGAATAGCCAGGACAACCTATCAAAAGAGAACAGTGGACAAACACTGGCTCTACCCCACAAAAACCTGCCAAGTTCGGAGCTCAAGTGTCTGCTTCTTATGTCTTCTCTGACGTACTAAGTGAGTGGTCTTCATCTTCAGTTTCCTTTCCTTCCCTTTCTCCCTCTTCAATTCTCTGTAGTCTGACTTCCACTCACTCAATATTCACAACTGCCAAATCCAGTGCTTTTTTCCTAGTCCTTATTCTTCTAGATAGATCAGCAGTTCTCACCTGGGAGCAGTTTTGCCCCTAAGGGGACATGGAGCAAGGTCTGGAGCCATTTATGTTGTCTCAGACTGTGGCATGCTGCTTGGCAGCTAGTGAGTAAAGGCCAGGGGTGCTAACCTCCAACAATGCAGAAGGCAACCCCCATAAAGTCATCTGGCCCCAGATGTCGACCATGCCATGGTAGAGAAACCGTTTTAGACTTCTCTGCCGCGTGGATATAATTTTCTCCACCTACTTTCCATTTCTCCTCCTTGGCTTTCTCTTCCCTCGACTGTTCAGCTTCTCTCTCATTTGCTGCCCTTCCCACCATGAACCCTCTAAATTCATGCTCTGCCCTTGGCTCATTCTATTGTCCTCTCTTTCTTGGAGACTGTCCCCCTCACCAACGGCAAACATTATGCTGACAAGTATGACTCCCAGACTTCACCAGTTTTGAGCTCTCACCATATTCAACTGACATCTCCAACCATAAGCTGGATTTCTCTATTGGAATGTCACATTATCACCCCAAACCCAATACTCCAAAAACAGAACGTATCAGCATGCCTTTCCCCTCTGAAAACCAGCTCTCTCCCACTTTCCCCTCTATCCACAGTCTCATTCAGTCAGGCTCAGAAATATGCATTCTGGACTTCCTTGCTCCACAGGCAACTAAGTAGAGCCAGTCACCAAGCTATTTTACCCTCTAACATCCTCTATTTCCAATGAGATCTCTCTAGTTCTGTCCCTTTCACCCTAGACTCTGGATCCAAATGGATTGCCCTGTCTCTGGTTTCTCATTTACACCTTCCTCCAGGCTCTCAAAGTATCCGTGTGTCCTTTCTACTTAAGCATGAGGTAAATATACAGCCTGGCATTTAGGACCCTCCTCAGTCTGACCAGATTTATGCTTTTCAATCTTATACCCCATTATGCCTTTTCCTGACTCTGCTACTCTTAAGTGAACTGATTTACTGACTGCCTCCACAACTATGCAAACATTTCCTAGCCCATGAGGTCTTCTACCTACGCGCTCCCCCGTTTTGTGGCCATCTGAGCCCTTTCCTCCCCCACAAACCCCATCGCTTTCAGAAAGTTGTCTATGGCTACTGCAGCCCACAGATGTCTCCCAACTGAATCCTGCAGATGTTACATAGGTAAGAAACATTTAATTCAAAGAGAGGGACTAATATACAAGAGCCTAGAAGATACAATTTATCAAGACTATTTTGTTCATTATTGTTATAAAACTTTAAAATCTAAATTAAAAGTCTTACTGTTGAAAATTAAGCACAAAAGGCAGAGTAGGGTAGTAAGAGCAGAATCTGAGCTTGCATGCATTTCTATTAGTGCCAACACTGCTGATCTTCAAGTTCTGTACCTGTAAAATATGGTAACGTACTTGCCTTATAAAGGTAATGTGTGGATTGTATCAGATAAGGTGTGTAAAGTGTCCCTGGCACATAAATGACAATTAGATGTTAGCTATTACCAACATCAATAACCTTGCTAAATTTCTGGAAAGAGGACTCTGGTCTTCCTCTGTTGTGACTCACTAAAAAAATGGAATTTTCCAGAAGGCAGATCCATCCAGGCCTCCTCATCCTAGGAAATTTCAGTGGTAGATAGGTCTAAAGTTTCTTCAATGGATTGCTTCACTGATTTCATAATTCTAGCACAAATCCCCAGGGCAGAAATATAGTGAGAAAAATAGTCCTATTTCATTCTGTCAAGGAAATCAAGAGAATTTTGGTCTCCTTGATACAGATATATGTTTGTTTGTTTGTTTGTTTTTTAAGTAGGCTCCACACCACAGGGCCCAGCACGGGGCTTGAACTCACAACCCTGAGACCAAGACCTGAGCTAAGATCAAGAGTCTGACACCTCACTGAATGAGCCACCCAGGTAGTCCTCCCCAATTTTTAATATAGTGACTAGGAATTTAATAGCATGGTTAAAATTAAACCAATTCTGCAAATGTCCAACAATCTTTTGAAATTAAGTACCAAAGGCGACACAATAGGTCAGCCACAATGGGTCGGTTGTGTTTTGGGGCTATGTTGTTTTATAGATATAAGGCATTCACAAGGAAATTCCAGCAGGAAAAGAAAAAAGTGATTATGACCCACGTTTTCCCACAAATAAGAGCAGAGCACTAAAGGAGATCAGCTACTTGGGTGTGGGCTTTTACAAGTCACAATTCTGACAACTCACCAAATAGGTGGAAAAATCTATTTGCAACCTCATTTTGTTCCTCAGCCACAGGCATCTTATATCCCCAAGCAAATGCTTTCATATTCACACTGAATTTGGAGGGCTAGCTTTAGTACCATGGCATGATTCAGCCCAGCTGTGAACCTAGTCTTTAAAAGGATCCATCTACCCATGGGGCACCTGGGTGGCTCAGTTGGTTGGGCGTCTCAATTTTGGCTCAGGTCATGATCTCAGAGTCATGAGATCAAGCCCCATATTGGGCTCTGTGCTGGGCATCGAGCCTGCTTAAGATTCTCTCTCTCCTTCTGCCCCTCTCTTTCTCTAAAAAAAACCAAAACAAAACAAAAATTAAAAATAAAAGGATCCATCTATCCTTGATCCCACAGATGGAATTACATGGGCTTTAGAAGCCATCATATCAGTATCCAGAATCCAAAAGGACAAAACATACTGTCAAGCAGGATCAAAAGTTGCTTTGCCAATTTCAGGTCAAAACTGGTATCTGGAACATCCTATCAAGGAATTTCAGTGTGTTTAGTAGTAACCACCACGATAACCAAAAACTGCTTACTATCTCGCTTTCTACTGACATATTCCATTATTCTGGTCCACTTCCTATAGTGGAAAGGCAACACAAAGACTTAAAAAGAGCAAGTGACTCGTAAGATTTGAGTTTTGGTTTCGGCCAGTTACTACCTTGGGGTTATGTCCTTTGGGTGCCACCTTTTCATCTAAAATATGGGTTTAACATCATTTGTTCACTTCCTTGGTTAATAATGAGGAATGAATGAAATAATCTAGGTGTAAGTTCTTAGTATACTGAAAAAACAACATAAAGATAATGTTTGGGAAGTACTAATACTTAAACCTGTAAAATGTGAGATGGGCTCAGGAGATATCATAATGGCTTTTCACAGTTTTTAAAAAAAGAAAAATTCAGAGTCTTTTGTTCAAAGGAAACATTTCAAGCAGATAAAAGTGTCTCTAGATGAACCAGGAATTACCTGAATTCCTCTTCCCCTACCCACTGTGGTAGCGGGCTCTGAAAGGAGTTTCCAGAACCCTTAGGGCTCCAAGGAACATGGCGTGAAAATCCCTGCTTCAGCCCAATCTCTGGTTTTACACATGGAGAAACAGCCCAGAGGGCTGAAGCAACGGCCTAGAAGCAAGACAGCTTGCAGACAGTGGACTGTTTATGGACGGGTAACACCACAGTCCAATGTACAGCCAGCACTTGTTCAATTTACCTTAGAGACCCTGGAAAGCCATCTGAGTAACAAACAGTCTTCCCCTGGTCCCTGACAAAGTGTCCCTGCCTTTATTTGCCTGGGCCCCATAGTGGTGCAGCCTGCTGGGAGCTCTTCTCATCCCTTGGGAGCCTCAGAGTGCACAGCACAAAATACTGATGCTGCAGAGCAAATGGATGGTTTCTACCAGGACCTTCTGAGACAGCTTGAGGAGTAGCCTCCTCGGGGTTAGTGACCAGCTCCCCAAGGCCTTATGGGGCCTCTCTCCCCTAGAGAGCTATGCTCACAACCCTATTTCTCCTGCCCTCTCAACCTGTTCTGAGTCTTTCCGATTCTTCTGTAATCGTTTCTCTATGGGAACACCCAGGTTTTTCTATTCCACTGCACCTTTAGAGTTCCATATTTGGAATTTCATATCAGTTGCTCAGTAGGTTTTTCTGCGTCCATGCTTTACTTCCTTTAACCCACCCCATAAGCTAATTCCAGAAAGAGTAGGACTTAGAGGAAACAAAAGATCTGAGTTCAAGTTCCAGTTCAACCACTTACTAGCCTTGACACTTGTACCTGTTTCTACTTTCATAAAATAGCTATGACAATACCTGCTCCATTTAGATCTCAGAGCACACGACAACATTATCATGAGAACGGTACGTCAATCATAAAGTTGTGAAGAATAGCCTTTATCAGTAATATTATCACAACACTGCTGGTCATCTCACTGTCTCATCAAAAACATTCAGTGATCCTTATCGGAAAAGTCTGAAATCCTATACCTGTTGTACAAGCTCCACAAGCCTGGCCCCAACCACTGTCAGGCTTCTTCCCCATCCTTCCCCCACAAGGCTTCGTGCCAGCCCAGATGATCTCTCTACCTCCCCCAGCACAACTTGTCTCATGACTCTAAGACAGGATTTCTTCTACCTAAAGTGCCCACCTTGACCTATCAAAAAAGTACCACTGTCTGAAGCTTCATCTAGTTACTTAATGCAGAAGAGCTCTCTTTCCTCTGAAAGACACCCCACCTTATTAGTACCACCCTGGATGCATTTAATTGCTAGTGTAAAAAATTCCCCTGAACACTTGCATGCATACACACACAACCTACCTACCCCTCATTAGATACTGATCAAGCTCTCAATGGATCAGTAGATCTAGCTACCAATATGCCAAGCTGAGGGACATCTGCAGGCCCACAGGCCCAGCAAGGTTAACAGAAAGAGGTACTGAATGTGTATTTGCAAGTGGCAAAAGAGGAGTAAAAGAGTGAATGATTTAACCCATTCCCTACCCATCTCCCCTCTGGTAACCATTAGTTTGTTCTCTACAGTTAAGAATCTGTTTCTTGGTTTGTCTCCCCCCGCCTTTGTTCATGCTTAAGATTCTCTCTCCCACCGCTCCCACATGCGAGCGTGCGCTCTCTTTAAAAAAAAAAAAGGGCAAAAAGCACTGAAGCTTTAAAGTGCTATACCCCAACAACCCAACAAAGCCTGGCACAGAATGGATGCTCTGTGAACACTTGATCAGTGAACCAAGAGGCAGGACACCCAGAGGCTGAGAAAAAGCAGCACCACAGCACTCACTGGCAGCCCACAGCTGTCAGAGCTTGCTCAGCAAGGGCCACAAATGATTGCTATGGCAGAACTAAAACCTATACAGGTTGGGAGAGCAATGGCAATGCAATGGGTAGGAAGACACAGTACTCCGAAGGGCAGGGAAAGAGGAGCCAGGGGAAGGCCTGGCACAACAGCGCTAAAGGATGTCAGTGGGGAAGAGGGAAGACTTGGCAAGTACTTAAGGAAATGGGGGCTGCAGGAAGTTTCTGAGCTTTGTGTTTTTTCTCACAACCTTAGGATGAGGTGGGTAAGAGAAATGAAGATTAAGATTTAGTGTCTAAGGGGCACCTGGGTGGCTCAGTCATCTGCTGATCCCAAAGCAGAAGGACAAGAGGGCTACACCAACTAGAATACAAGTTCCTTGTGGGCAGGAATCATGCCTGCCTTGTTCGCCATCCATAACCGAAGCCTAGAGCTGTGCCTAGCACACACGTATGAAATACTCCCGCTAGACTATGTGGGTTGCAATCCTAGCTCTACCGCCTTACCAACTGGGCCACTTTCACATCTCTAAAATGGGAACATTACTATGTAGCTCCTAATTAAGAGGATCAAATAAGTTAGAATAAAAAAAAGCACTTGGTGAACACAGCAGAACGCATAAACTTGTTGAATCACTGTTGTACACTTGAAACTAATTTAACATTGTGTATCTACTAAAAAAAAAATCAAAAACAAAAACAAAAACCACTTGGTCAGCATATAGTAAGCATCATGAAAAGTATCTGGTATTATAATGGGTTTTCTCTGGGGGCTAGAACCTGGTGAAGGACTCCCAAATAGAACCTCATCTCAAGCCACAGGTATACTTCATGACTAGCACTACAAGTGTACAAAGGGTCTAGAGGCCCTAGGTGAGGGGGGCTCAGGGTTTTTTCCCCATCAAGGATAATGCTCCATCAGACAAGCTCCCATGAGCATGAAAAGGGGCTTGGTCTTGGTCTACTTGTAGCAGAATGCAAGAAAGTAAGGGTGGGGATAGGACCTCCATCTCTAATGCATAAAGGAAGTCATCTGTAGACTTTGGTACTGATACCATTATTTTTGAGAAAGTACATGAGGCAAACCAACTAACCCCAATACCTTAGAGCCACAGTGCCAGGCAACCAAGTCTACCCAGTGACATCTACCAATATTTTTTTGTGTGACCCAATTTGATTTTCACTGCAGGAAAAAAAAAAAAAATCAGACAGAGGAAAAAAGACTGTTTCAGAGCCAAAGGAACAGACATTAGAGAAGTATGTGCACGGTAATGCTGAAAATCAGAGCAGAGTACCAGGTCATATGTTTCCTCAAAAAGCCATGGTGGTTTTAATAGTTAAGCATTTGTCTCGTTTTCCCCTAAAGTGGCAGTACCAACATTTCTGCTTCTCCCCAACTATCCGGCAATGCCTGTCAGTTGCTAGGCAACTGTAACTGCCAATGCTTTATGCCCACCCACAATGCACAGCTTTCCTAATTGTGCTCACTGGGTTTGCCAATTACTCCTTGGAATTATCTTTATAGCCAAAGCTGCTTCTTCAAGTTTGTCTTCTTGCCTGCTTGGTCCTGTGGTAAAAGTCAAACACTGTATTTGTCATCATGTCCCAGTAATTTCAAGAACAGGCTGCCCATCAAATACAGGATGATTTCATGGTAGGATCAAAAACTATAAATAGCTTGAAATAAAAGCAACCAGACAAAAGAGAAAATTGCCAGCCAACATAACATCTTAAGTTCAAGCGTAAGTGCAAGTTTTAAGTTTCTTTGAATAATATACTTCTGGCTGAATGTACTCGTCTTGATTTCATAGAATTTTGACCAATTTGTCAATTAATCACATATTGAACTTAGAAAAGGCTTTAACTATGGACAAATCTTTAGGTCACATATCTTATGAACAAAACAAAGGCTTTTCAAGCAGCTTTCTTGAATCCTAAAAGGACTAGTGAACATAAGCTTAACACATGGTTGTTAACAGCCACTAAAATCAAGCAGTTAAATGTTCAATACATCACACAGTGGGGTAGGTAACTTCTACATGTCATGTATTTTCCATCATCCTCACAACATTCCACAAAAGAGATAAAACCCAGATTATAAAGGGCATTCCCAAAATTTACGTGGCAGGCTAGTAAGTGGCAATTGCAGATTAGAATGTGGATCTTTGGACTCCATCTCAGTGTTATTTCTTCCATAGTCCACCGCCTGATGGGGTAATATCACCCACCCTCTGAGGTACCTTGGTTTGATGGGTCATGGGGTTAAAAGCTATTCAACCCAAGCAACCCATTAGTAGTAGTAGTTTGAGGTTGAGGAGCAGGATAGCTGGGGAATGGGAAGACAAACTTTTTCCATCTACCCTTTTCCTGTTATGTTTATATATTATTACCTATTGGAACATTTTGTGAAGGGCTCTCATTCAAGTATGTTTAGGTTACTAACGATATGCTGTGCAGAGTTAGATGCGGAGGATCTAAAGATGAGTAAAACCTGGCACCTGTTCTCAAGCAGTTCATATTGTACTGAGGGAAAGGAACCCAGAAATAACCAAGAAGGAACATGTAAAAAAAAAATCAAGCAAAAAGTGCTACAAAAACACAATGGGGAAAACAATGAATTATGTCTGAGCTAGAAAAATTTTCAAAGGGGAACACTTGAAATAGACCTTAAGGATAAGCATAATCATTCCAGACAGTACAAAAAGAAAAATAAACTTAGAATCTGAGAAACAGTGAGCAAATGAATGGTAGCTGCATTATAGGGAATATCCTTC